CCTAGACTCTGTAATGTGAACAATAGAGGGCGCCGCCCACAGCCCATGGTGATTCAGATAAAGGTTGGATTGACAGGTTTATCGACTGGGGTTGAAGGGATTGATTTTTTTGGTTGTTTTATTGGTTGTTGTGTTTATAGACTGACTGACTGACTGATTAATTGATTGATCGATGGATCTCACATGACCTGTGCAAATGTTACCAGTATTTGATAGACTGTCCAACTTAACACTGCTAGTATTTACCATTGAGATAAAGTCGGTAAAATATCTTAAATAAACCTTTATCTTTAATTACGGTTCTTAACTCATACAGACCTAAATACTGAATGTTTTCTTTTCACATAATATTTTGATAATTTTACACAACACATTTTTTTCCCTCTTCTTTTCCACTCAGTGTGACAGTTTTTTTTTTTTCTACATATCTGGCGGTGAACAGGAAGAAGAAACTTTGCTTCCAAAACTTTTACACAAAGAACTAGAAGACAGCCTGCTGGCCATATGCACATATGTCTTGTTTTGGTGTGAGGGCTGAAATATGGAACATTTGGAATCAAATATTTATAAGTAAAACTTTTGTATCTTATCTTATATTTTTTTTATCCAAAAGACAAGGAAAACGAATGGATCCAAACAGCACTTGGATTTAAAATGGATTTTCACAACTTCTGGGCCATAAAATGATCAGTGTCGACAATGAGAGCGATACAGTCGGATGAGTTACAATCGGACGAGATACAGTCGGATGAGTTACATTCGTAAGTTGTTCCTACCAGTTTCTCTGGAGATCTGAATGAACGCCTCCACCCCACTCTCTCCGTAGTTGCCCTCCGAGGCGAGGGTAGACACGTAGTTCCACTCCATCGCCGTGACGATGTCCATCATAGTCTGGGCCTGGTAGGAGTCCGGCGGCACCACGCGGGAAAAGAAGTCGTAGCGAGTGTTGTCGCTCAGTTCCGGGGCTGTGGATGCGTAGCTGATCTGGGGGATCTACGGAGAAAACAGACCAAAACGGTTCATTGTTTTTAAACTTCAGTAAAAGCAGAGTTAGATATTTACAGTTAGTGTTCTTCCTCTGTTGTTTGTTGAATAATGCAGCAGCAAGGACGGATTAAACCTTCTCTAACTAAGCAGAGAATTTTCTTATTCATAATCAGTTCCCTCACCTGACAGAGTAATAGCCAAGTGAAAAGACGGAGATTCATGCGACAATAAGTCTCTCATCTCCGAAACACTTTCATGCATATTTTTACTGCTTGGTACGTGAATGTGAGAAAATGTTTCCAGGCGACTCTCACTCTCTGCAGCATCAGGCGTGACTGTTTTATTTATTTTATTTTATTTTCATTATGTGAAGACAACGTCGACAGTCAAAGATGTTTAAATAATTCAAACCAATGACTTAGAGGTGAGAAAGATTGGGAAGAGGCAAACGACGGCGGGGGATGATTGGGGGTCTGGGTGTGGGACGACGGGGGGTGAGGGGTGGGGGGTGTCCAGGGGTGGGTAACGGACAGGTAAAATGATGGCGATGCGAAGCACGGGGCATTTTTCAACAGCGATGTCACAGGTGACAGATGGGAGGGGAGTGTTGGGAAGAGTTGACGTAGGAAGACGAGGGACGCAAAAATGGGAGGGCGGGGACCAGGCTGGAGGACGAAGAAAAAAAGAGAGAGAGAGAGAGAGAGAACAGCAGGTGGATGGAAGGATGGAGGGCACGGGTACGTCAACACACACACACACACACTCAGGTATTACTCTTGATAAACGGGCAACAGGCGGAGGGTGTTCGACGGCTGACAGGCTGATTGATTTCCCCCCTGACAGAGGGGGACGGGGAGGGAAGACCCTGTGCTTGCCAACTTCCACACACACACACATTGACACACACACACACAGGAACAGAGACATCTCATCAATATTCAGTGAGGGGAACAGTTTTCCGTCAAGAAACTTCAAGAAACATATGGCGTGTCCACCGTCTGTCCCTGTTGAATGTCTGTAAAACCCATCGCTCACTGTCTTCTTTCTGTCGTTTAGAATCCCCACCACGCAGGGTCCCTCCTCGTCTGTGCCATTTTTAAAAGGTCAAGGAAGTATCCCCAGATTTGCAGCAGGTTTTAAACGGTTCCACGTTGGTGCTAAAACATTCTTTCCTTTCCTCAGGAGAACTTTTTAATCAAAGTCTTTGAGCAGGTTTGACCAAAAAAAAATAAAACCCAACAAAAAAACTTCTATTTTCAACCCTCTTATACTTACTGCTCCACAAAAGTCCAAAATCCATTTTTGATTTAGTCTTAGTTACAATTTAATCCATGATTGCAGTTCAGTTCAACTTGACAAAATAACATTTGTAATTGGATTAACCATATTTGCTGTGGATCAGCAGTCCAGTTACCCTTGATGTAACTACTTTGGAAGATAAATAATTTTTTTTTTTTAATCGCAATACCTGGAGATTTAATGCTGTTATAAGATTTCTAGGTATTCATGACTTTTAAGTCTATTAGTGACAGAACTAGAAGCAACAGAGCAGAATATCAGCTGTGCTATTCGAAGTATTTGGCTCTATTTTATAGAAGGTGACTTCTCGCCTGTATGTATGTAAACAACAAGTCAAACTCACAGGAAGTTCCTGACTCACGTCGGAAATCCAGCACTACATATCTCGATTTTTGCTGCAAGCTGGAACTAACGTATTGTACAGATGTCACTGACCCAAACTAACACAGTGGTAACACCAACATAAAAGGACATAAAAACGTCAGAGGAGTCTGACTTACACCTGGAAGTCATAATGAAGGGCAAAAAGTTCCCAAAGAAAAACCAACAGAAACGAAAGAAAGTGAATGTAAACAAGGCTTGGTCTTCTTCATGTACCGCCACACGACGACGTATCCATCCGCTGGGCTTGACATCTAGTTCCCGTGTGAAATTAGTTCTAACATCCGGACGTCAGAGCGATGTCTCTGCATGTTCATAACATTTATGGGAGACAAACATTGAGAAAACTATTTCTCGGACGGTCAAATACCCTTCGGTTTGTGCAGTATCTGTGTGTTGCGTAACCCAACCTCTGAATGTGTATTTTAGGGTTTATTTTTGTGTGCGCCTGTTTATTTTATGTGCATTTCAATAGGAGAATATCCATTTCAAAGAGAAGTGAATACACAGCCGGGAATATGAGATATTTGTCTGTTTACAACAGCGGTGGGAGCAGTAACCCTGTAACCCGGGCCAACCTGGCACTTTGATCTTTTCCTCATTTTCACTCTGCAGCTGGGAAAGCGAGAGACACGCAAACACAAACATACACTTGTGTACGCAGCACAGTCGCCCTATTGTCCTGTTTTCTGAGTTGGTGCTGGGTGAGGAGAGGAAGAGGAGGAGGAGGAGGAGGAGGAAGACAGAGAAGGAAATAAAGCCATTCAGACTCAGTGGTATCTAATATGACAGTAAAGACACGACCGTCATGTTTCTGACAACAAACAAACACAAACACGTGTGTGTACAGTAGATTATTATAGACTAAACACTGACGGTTAAATCCACGCTTTTCTGTACAGTGAGAAGAGGCTGGAGCTGCAGTTGGGAGGCGGGAATTTAACGTCTGGAATTTCTCCCATCGTGAGGAAGATTATGCTCCAAATCCTCCCTAATTCCATTGGCTCTTATGAGGATGTGTGTGAGAAAGAAGAAGAAGAAGAAAAACACACACAAACACGTCTCCGTGTGTGTCACTGAAGATTGACCGTTTTACTGTTACTGTATTCATTAGCCACTAAAATTAAATGACAAACAAACAAACAAACAAGAAAACCTCGTATTACATTAAATGCAAATTTATATTTACAGGGATTAGATCTTAATCCAAAGGAAATCCAAACTGCCAGTCCTGCCACCTGCCTGTGAACGTGACATTTAGTCTGTAGTTTTTATATATATATATTGAGGCTAAAAAGTAGAAGCAGAATTTAAAAATCAAATAAAGAATTACAAAAACAAACAAACAAAAAAAAACCTCCTGTCAGTATGGATATTAAAATTAAGGTCTTAAAATTTGACTATATAAAATAATATATAGAATATATGTACATACATACAGGGTATATATTTATATATATATATTTATTTATATATATTGTCCAATATTTATTTTTGTCATTATTACCCTTAGGTTAGCTTTAGCTTTTGGTGGCTAGCTGTCAGTTGATAAAAAGCTAAAATTTATTTGTGGGTTAGCTACATTTCGGATAATACTTTGTTAGGTTTTGGTTAGCCTGTTAGCTTATCAGTATGTTTGTTTTGTATACATTTTCAATACATCTATGTTTTTTTTAAGATTCCTGACATTGAATGAAAGTTGACATTTTCTACAATATCTGCGAACTTCCCAAAATGCAACAGATTTATATCCAGTACAATTGTAGCCTTAAATATTACAGCAGTAGTGGTTGTCTCTGATTAAATGAAAAAAAAGGGGGTTCCGACAGCTCCCGTCAAAGCAGAGATGTTTTACAGTTGTTTTTGTCCATCATTTGCTGACAGGGTTCAAATAAATAAATATTAAATCCCCGTTGCTCACGGAGGAATAAAAACGTTATTAAAAAATCTCGACTTTGTTGCAATAGTGTGGAATTGATCCGACCAAAGGCAGAGCAGAGCTCCGCTGCTAAGAAAAACAACACAGATTAATTCTTAATTGAACTGGCTTTGCCTCCCAGCGAATACCATCGGAGGCAAACAAACTAATGTGTTTTTCTTCTATGACAATTAATGCACACTAACGCGCTAATGATATTTGGGTGTTATTGAAACGCGGCTTTGTCAGAATCTGACTCTACATTCACGTCAGTATTCACCTCTACTCCATCCCTCAACGACTCTTTCTAGAGTTGGGATCAGTTCTACACTGACTTTCTAGATCAGAGGAGCTGCGCTGAGATTTAAAGACAAAATTTAGACCCCCTCCTCCCCAACCCCACGCCCCATCTCTCCATACGTTACTTTCCAGCTGCAGACATGACAAAAACCTCTGAAATTCACTCAGCTGAGTTGAACTCATTCTCCTCTTCAGGAAGAGTTCACACAGAGAACTGGATACATTATTAAACAAACGTTAGAACGTTCTGCGGTGAAACTTCACGTTATGAAGTCTGAAACTTGTTTTCGTTTTTTTTCCCGAGCTAAGACTGCTCAAAATGACCTTTGGAAATGCCAGGGAAAAAAAAGTCCAAGGGAAATCATAGGATACGAGGAAGAATTAATCAGGACTAGAGAGCTGCAGCTGTGAGCTGGACGGAAGAAAAGATACTTTTTAAACTGTTTGTATTTAACATTAACCATATTTTAATAAACTAGCCTAGTAATTTAAATAACTTAATTAACTGCACTTTTTTTCCTCACTTCTTTGGATCATAGTGGTAGTGGCCCTGTAGGTGGCGCCATTGCAAGTTGAGTATGTTTGTTTTAACTTGGGCTAACATCATGTATAAGTTTGTCTTATGAGCGTAGAACTTCAAATTATTTTTTACTTTGCGAAAAAAAAAAAGTGGCTACGAGTGCGGAAAGCAGTGCTAACCTTAGCTACATCCTGGTCCTGGTACAGACAAACCTTGTAGCCAATGCTAAAAATATTGGTATTGAATATTGAATAATCAAACTAACCTTGTTGTACTTGGAGCAACAACGATAAGTTAGCATTAAAAAACCTTTATAATCAGCAATTCATTATTTTTAAATGATTTATCGCAATTAATTCAATACAAAGCCATAAGTAACTCATGTCGTTGTTTTACCATCAGTATAAAAGTAACGACTCTTTGTCAGAGTAATTGGTTCATATTGATTTCTGATTAATTGATATCCGTTACGTTTACTGAAGCCTTTCAGCTAGCATACAAAGTCTGTCCTAAAACGCTCCTTGAGTCGCACAATAATAAAAACAGTGTTAATGTCGGGCCTATTTCAGCGTTATGTGCTGAAAAACA